TTTTTAATCTTGTCAATTTTCTTTTTTATAAATGTAGACACCACAACTTCATTATATCGATAGCTTTTTGACTACTAGTTTAAGTGTTTATCTATCCATATATTTGCTGGCTAGTTTAGTTAGCATGTGTGTTGTGTACTGTACGTATTTGAATTTTCGGGGTTTGAGCTCCAGCTCATGGTGCTGCCTCTGATCTTTTGACTGATCTATGCAAATTAACCATACCACATACATTTACAAGAGAATCTTTTTTTCCTCATCCTCAACTATAGAGATAGTGCCTACGAAATATTTTGTATATTACGTATATATAATTCATCGTCTCATGAGGCATATGTTAACTCTAAAAATAAAAGTCACTTGAATTTATAATAAAAAGATTAAAACAAAAGTTACTGCCAAAATAACGAATCTCTTTCACCTTCATAAGTACCGATTTTAAAATCATGTATATTATCTGGAAATTCCATAAAGGCAAATAACCCTTTACCTAAAAATAAGATTTTCAATCCTGATACAGTCATGTCTTAATTCAACTGAAAAATGACAAGCTTGAAAACTTACATTCATCCTAATTATTACACAGTAAATGCAAATGTACTGGGAGAAACATACTGCTGGTTGCACAGTTCACTGACATGGACAAAGCTCCCACTATGATGTCACTGCTTCTCAGGGTCATGTCCTACACTAATTTAAGGAAGAGGTTACATAACCGAGGTTCAAATGCAAAATTCATATTTGTTTTAATTTCTCTCTTATTCTATTTATAATAGGATACAGTAAGCATGAAACTCTCTCTCAGTAGATGTACTTTTAAATATTACTGTTTTATGCCTTTTTTGTTTACTCTGATAAAATACACATATTAAGCTGTGTAAACCTCTTTCAAAAGATGCTTGTCACTACATACAGGAAATTCCAGTTAGACATGAACAATTTAAAATGACCAGCTCTAAGTCATTTCATATTCTTCAATATTTAAAGAGTTTAACATAAAAAATATACAATATAGGCACATACTGAATACTGTCCAGTTTCAGTTATACACTCTTGTATCAAGCATCAAGATACTTTTACCAATTAATACACTTAATGTATTTTATGGTACCTATTAATGATTGCATTGTACAAGAAATATCTAACACACACCACTGACATATTAAATACTAAATTATCTGCAGTAATATCTTGTAAACACACTAGGCAAGCACTTGGGTAAATTTCTTCCAGAAATTACATACAACTAAATTTCGTATATTTTCTTAAAAGTACTCAATAAAATATCAATGGCACTAACAAATTCTGTAATATATTTCTCTGTTAACAGTTTAAACAATTAAAAAATATGCACTACAGTCTCTGAAGAAAAGTTAAAGGAAAAGTTAATGAGCCACTTTTCTCAGCTTCAGAGAAGTACTGAGAACTGACTTAACACAGCCTTCTAAATTAACACTTCTGCAAGAGGAAGAACTTGAAGACAATATCAGCTTTGAGAAAAAGCTGCGAGAATGAATTTAGAAAAAAGACTGGGAAGCAGAACCCTCTGTTACAGAGGAAGCAGATACTCACTAGAATCTAATGGAGGCTAGTCATGAAGCTAGACTTTCAGGTAGTAACTCTTGTATCAGGAGACTTCTCACTCTCAAGTAAAAGTTTACATACCTGCACAGCACATCTTTACAAGAGATTTGAGACGAAGATTTTACATGGTAATGCACCCTCTGGAATGGGTAAATTCTAGTGCCAAACAAGTCAACACCTGCAGTTATACAGTTATGCTGTTCATCAACTGTGCCAATACAGAGTAGATTTTGTGTAAATTAAAAAATTACCCCATCCCCCCACTGAAAGAAGTTTTCAAGAGTAGAACAACACGGGGAATGAAGGAACAGAATGTATAATAACTTATTTACCTTATTTTCTGTTTACCTCAGAAGGAAAACTAAGAATAAAGCCCTCAAAAATGAATAAAAGCATGATGATTTAGGCTAACCAGATAATTAAGAGTAAATCAAACACCAAAAGTAATATATTGCCTCCGTTACATGATTTTTACCTTGCTATAGTATTCACTCATTGGCTGAAGGAGTGGGAGGATGGGACAATGAAATTCCACATTAGTGAGCATCAACTACCAATGACTTGTGTTAATCACAATAATGCAATTATAAACAACTCAGAAAATTGGCCTGCACAAACTAAGGGTGAGAGCACTTTCCTCCCAGTTTTAGGACTGGTTTACCATGAGTTCAAACCCTGCCTATTCTCTGAATCAATTACCAGATTACCACTTCCCTCAACATTCACTGCCCCATCCACACATTATAGAATTAACAACAGTTTCTTGCTCTGTTGAACAAATATGGTAATACTGACTAAGTTGTGGAAAGTGATATGTATGCACAGATTAAGACCTTTAATAAGAAAATATTTCACCACAAGTGACTTATTTGGCCTTAATCAATGAGACTGAAGAAGCCATTTGTGGCAAAAATATATTTCTATTAAATGTCTTAATCTGTGCATACGAGTCTTTCCACAGTTTCTTGCTCATTGTAAAATAACGAATGCTTATAACTGACTGGAAAAAGCACCGTAAGCAGTGTCAGCTTTCTTGACATTACCACT